TGTCGTGCTTAAGTGTGGGGGGATGTTCGATTATGTATGTGTGTGAATGTTTGACTGTTTGTGTGCTTGGAGCCTAGTCCACTGTCCAAATTTCGATTTGAGGGCTCCAAGTACGTGTTCCTTGCAATTGCCTGCTCAGTATGCTTTGAATTGACAGTCTTTATAGTAATATGCAACCTAGGGAGGTAGTGTAGCACTATGGAGGATGTTGATGCATTTAAGAAGTCTCATTTCTTCTTCATATTGTGTTGGTTGATTGAGTGAATTAGTGATCTTAAGACCCCTGAATTGTGTGGTGTTGTGGACTCTCTACCTCTCATGGACTCTTGTTTCATGTTTTGAGTTTAACAGGTGCTCGAAAATGTGCTTTAAAATAACGTCTCCCGTGCGAATAGGGCGAAAGTGTGTAAGGGGAGACGAGAATTCGTTCCCAATTTTCACCTACTACCTCCAGCCCCCTTACATGTCTTTCCCCCGCACGAGGCTCGAGACACCCGCTCCTGGCATGGCCGGTAAGAGCCGGGCTCCCGCAAAACCTCTGCTAGGTGGGAGCCCCCATTTTGTGAAAAGCAGGTTGGGACCCTTGAAAAAAAAAAGGAAATATAACAGAAAACAAGCAAAACAGAAAGAAAAGGGGTTCCAACCGTCTTCAAAAAGAAAATAAGAGCACCTTGAAAAATGTGAGTCCATGATATTTTTTTTTAGAGTCTCTTTGTCCACGATTCATTTGTCCTCTGTTCACTATTTGCCATGATGCCGACTCGAGACTAGCATTCTCGCCGAAGAAGCTATGAGATGACTTGGCGTCGGTTGACCTCGTAAGCTGCTAAATGATCTAGAAAATTCTCTATCAACGATCGAGGGTGCATGTTGCTATAGAGGTCTGGAGAGCTGCATTGGTTTGAGTTAGGTTTGCTTGGGGACAAGCAAACGGTTAAGTGTGGGGTGATTTGATGACTCGATATTTGCACATGTTTTCCCCTTTGTTTCTTGATTGTTTGAGCTTTAATTATTGCGTCTTTGGCCTATTTTACGCTAGTTTGTGTTCCTTTGTCACATTTCAGGTCCTAGCACATAAAGTGAAGCATAGGCGCAAGTTTCAAGTCAATCAGAGATCAATTGGCGATTAGGGAGAAGAAACTCGGGCATGACCTGAAGAAGAATGAATTTCTACCTCACTTTATGGACAAAGAATCATGCAAGCTTGTCATGAAAAGAAAGAGGACGAGACTACGAGCGTCTGGGATCAAACGGCGACTGATTCGGAGTCCGGACGAGGGAGAAACGAAGCATTGAATATAGGGGAACAGGTTCGGCAGTAAAAACACGGGCGCGCCTAAATCAAAACACGGTCGTGCCCATATTTAGGCACGACCGTGTTTTGGCCGACGCGCGCGAGCGTGTTTTTAACACAGGGCAAAACACGGGCGGTCAAAAGCAAAGCACGGCCGTGCCCTCGACCGTGTTTTGCCCAGAATCAGGTTTTTTAACGCAAATTCAAGCCAAAGGAGAGGGGGAGCTGGGTTTTGGATCCCAAACACCCAAGGGACGAACCAAAGAGAGAGAGGACGATCTGAGGGCATTCTAAGAGTGGAATTGGAGGATTTTTTTGCCTTGGAAGATCGAGGAACAAGCCCGGACTTGAAGACTGATCATCTGAAGATTCTTACTGCAGTCTCTCTCTTCTCTATGGAGTAACTTCCCTTCACTTAGGTTTTAAGGAACCCTAGCTATGTTTGTTTGATTGGATGATTGTATGAGTACTCTGACTTGGTAATCTTGAGTTCATATTCAATCTATGCATGTTTTCATGATTCAATTCTGCTTTAGTCGAGATTATTGATTCTGCTTTGATCCTATGAGAGGGAATACCTGATTAGGTCAATAGAGCACCATAGATTGATAGTAGTGGATCGATTGCTTTAGTCGAGGGTTGATTCACTGCTTTGTATCGATTGAGAACCTCTTTTGATAGAGGGAGTCTAGTTCAGAATGCCTTGATCAGTTGTTCTAGAGAAGGATACGTCCCTCTAGGCAATTGACTCAAGAGGGCCTTGTTCCTTTAGTCGAGACTCAAGGTCTAGTCAAGGATTCTCCGCATTGTGAATGAAAGTGAAACAAGTTGGAAATCATCAATCGTTAGTCTGGCTAGTGGCTAGGGGGAATCATACCTAAGTGAGTTCCCAACCTGTAATTAGATTAACTTTAACTGTAGTTTGCTAGAGTAGTTTTAGTTCTTTCATCTTAATCTGGTTTGCTAAATAATAAACTGAAGCTGAGTAATAGTAACTCTAGAGACCCGTGGATTCGATATTTATCACTTGAGCCACTATACTGCAGTCCCTTCCATTGGTTACACTTGGCCATTGTTAGGTGTTGTGTCATAGCGAGTCAACTAGGCATACTTGGGCATCTTCGATAATGCCTCCACGAAGGGCATACTGATGTTTACCTGCTTCAGCATTGCCATGAACTTTGCAAACTCAGTCTCCAGTCGGTCTTTGTGCAATCGAGTACGAAAGGGAAGTTGCGGTACATACTCCTTCACCACTGTTTGCGGCTTAGGAGCATGCACCTCAACCTCCTTCTCAAGTGAGGATCAGCAGTCATCTTACCATAGCTGGAAGTGCTGAAGCAGTGGCCTCTCTCTCTTGTGCCAGACAGGTGGATCAGCAGTCATCTTACCACTCCTGGTAGTAATGGCCTTGCAGTGCTCATTTGGGTCCTGCGGATGAGGGATTGTCTGACCGGGTAAAGTACCAGGAGTTCTCTAGGCTACAGCCTGTGCCACACTCCTAAGCTGGGTCTGAGTATCACGCAGCACAGCCTGCGTGTTTCTTTGACCAGCTTCTAGCTCCAAGAATTTACCTGAGGCTTTCTCCATGACTTGCCCCTCCAGAGTAAATGGGAAGTACCTCAGCTGGATTGCATCGGCTGGAACCCCATTGATCTTGATCCCATCAATGAGCTCGTGGAATCGCCTCAAGTGTGATCGGGGCACTCCCCCTCCTTGCCACGGAATACCACCGAACCGCGCAACATGGTGATGACAGAGGTGCCCACCTCAAAGTTATTTGCTGGAACTTGAGGGTGCTGGATGGGCGACCTCATGTCCGCGGCTCTAGCGGTCCAGTAATATCCCATGGTCTGTTCCTCGGGAATGACCACATCATGGTCCTGTGGGTCACCCATTTCTTCCTCCTCGGCGATGTGCAGCTGTGCTAGAGCTTCCTCCGCAGCCAGTCGCGCCTTTAACACCCGCTTGAAGTTCCTACAAGTCCGTTCAAGCTCTTGGTCTAATGGTAGTAAATCTCCCGACTGGCTACGGGTCATGCACTACCTGCACACAGGATGCAAACACAACCCGTGAAGGCACAAAGGTGGAAGAGAGAGAATGCAGAAAATAAAAAGCTAGAGTAACAAACTTTCACGTTTCCACAATAACCTAGAGGGTCCCCGGCAACGGTGCCAAAAACTTGACACGCTAAAACACAACATCAAACTGCGACCAAGTGTAACCGCAGTCCGGAAATGCAGTAAGTGGAAAGCTCTATTTGTCAACCCGAAGTCTAGATCTACTGCCTACTCCGTGATTATCTATTATCTAGCAAACTAAGTCGAGTGATTGTGATTTTAACTAAAAGCAGTAAGAAAGCAGGAAATTGTTCGGTTTTCTAAAGCAAGGGAAGAATCACTCGGGAATGAGTCCCCCTAGCTCCTTAGTTAGGTCACAGTTGTAATTACTTTTGGTTTCTTTACTGTTGATTATACTGCGGAAGATCCGACAGTAGCTTGGAATCTCTTAAGCTGACCAAGCCCTCTCAGTCAAACTACCCGACAGACGACTAGTCTTAACCGAGATAGAAAGCTGAGGCTATGAACACAGAACTCCACTACTGGAACTGAATTTCAGTACAAAGTAGTCAATCGACTAACTCTCGTATAATCAACTCACTATTACCAATTGAAGAAGCTCTAACAAACTAATCAGATTCTATCTATCTCAGGTTGCAGCGGAAATCAATAAAAGATGATCAGGCTTCAATTGAGTCAATCAAAACACTTCAATCGATTATAATCAAACAATATCACAATCCAAACATCGTTACAACAATGATCCCTAACACATAGAACAAGAGTTCTTCATACCCGAGTGAGAGAGGGTTCTACTCCATAGAGAGAGAGTGAGAGAGAGAGGAAAACAGCAAACAAAGCAGTCATACTCATCAAAATGGGAACAATCTGCTCTGGGATGATGATCTCACTCCAAGGATGATTTCCAAGCTTGATTGATGAAACCCAACTCCAAAATCACTCTTAGGAGGTGTTCTTCGCACTTTCTCTCTCTAAGGCTCTATTTTTGCTCCAGAAAATCGATTCCCTCTCCTTAGGCTCGAAATTGGGTTAAAACCCAGAATTTCCTGACCACACAGCCGTGTGTCTTCCTAGTCTGCCCATGTGAGTGCCAAAACGCGACGTTCCATCTAATGAGCTTTATGCACGCTGCACGGCCAGAAGTGCACGGCCGTGTGAAATCTCGGTCTAACCGTGTGAGCTCCCTGGAATTTCCACACGGCCTCAAGGGTCCCAATACACGGCCAGTGTGGCTTGCCCGCGTAATGGGATTCCACAAGGCCACACCACACGGCCGTGTGGCTGCTAGGTCTGACCGTGTGGATTCCTCAACTTCTCGCCAGACGTCCAACTTTCATCCAATCGACCCGAAACTCGCTCCCAAACCTCCAATCACGTACTAGGACCTGAAATAACACAAACCAGAACAACCTAGTGTTAAATTGGGCTGAGATACAAGAAATGAGGCTCAAACAGCATAAGAATGGTGGATGTGTATATATCAAGTCATCACCTACACCGAGGTGTACTGTTCTATAACGAAATAACATATTTCTCTATATATATATATATATATATATATATATATATATATATATATATATATATATATATGCCTTTACTCTTCTTCTTCGATCATTTTGCTAATGGATACCTACAAGCTGCAGTCCGCCATTGAAACACCAAATTCTCTATTTTGTCGAGGGAAATTGCCCATTCTCTATCCAAGCTGTGACAACCTGGTAGCAGAGCCTTCGCTCGACCGGATGGCAATGACTCGCATTAAGGAAAAGCTCGCGACGCTCACCAATTGCAACATCACCGCTGAGGATCAGCTTCACCGCATTGGTGATCAATTGCTAGCCATGGACGAGTAGATGACTACGACTGGTGAGCGCTTTCGTATCAATGAGCATAAACTTCGTAAATTGACTGGAGGACAACCATTTTATGAAATTATTGAATCGCAACATATGCTTGATGGTCCTGACGGCCATTTTGATTAAGTAATAAGGCGGTCGGAGGAATTAGGTCAACTGCGACCACCAATCGTCGTTGCAGAGACGGAGGGACCGCTGGTAGCTCGAAACAACGGTCGTGACATTCTCCCTCAACCTATTCTTCCTCATGTCTGGTGATTTGCAGAGTCGGAGGCAGAGCCACCGCAACAAGGAAACTGTGAGCGCACACCAGATCTCCATAGTTCCTTCCTAATCATGGTAACAATAATCAATTCCAACTTTCGCATTTAGATTTTATGTACTTCAATGGTGCGAATTATTGGGAGTGGACTCGTAAACGTGAGAAACTGTCTGCAATCTGTGGAATTCCCCAAGATCCACAGGTCACTTTGGCCACAATTTAGTTTGAGCATCGAGCGGATATATGGTTTGAAGGTAGGAAGTTAGTGTGGGAAGAATTTGTTCCTGTGTTATCTCATCAGTTTACTGACTAGTCTTTGGAGGTATTATTGGTGCGTTTAACAAGCTTAGGCAGTATGGCTCTTTGGTTGAGTACCAGAAGAAGTTCGAAGAACTAAAGTCGCAGATGCTTCATGATAATCCTTCTCTTACAGAGGAATACTTCATCTATAGTTATGTTAGAGGTATGGAGGAAGAACTCACGCCAGTGATCACTATGTGACAGCCATAGTTTTTGGCTCACACTTTCCAATTGTCTAGATTGGAAGAGGTTTCCAACGAAGTTCGCAAAAGGAAACTTCTTGGTTCTACTCCTTGAGTGGGGGGATTTCCTGCTCCAAGTCATCATTTTCCACTTCTCCACCTCGAAAATGGAAGCTACAAAGGCACCTATAGCTAGACCTACCCCTGCAACCACTGAGACTAAACCAAATATGACCAAGGGTACTTGTTACAAGTGTGGGGATGGCTAATTTTATGGTCATGTCTATGCCAATAACGGTAGTTGAAGGCATTGCAAGTGAAAGGTGCATGGTTGTCAAACCGGTTTCATGCCGGCCGGTTCAACCGGGTTCAACCGGTACCGGTCAGCAAACCTGCTGGAAAGGGGCCGGTATTTAACTGTGGTCAATGCCGGTCAATGCCGGTCAGATCCGGTCAAATCCGGAAATTTCGGCCGGTTAGACCAGAAACCGGAATTTAATGTTACCCATATTATATCAAAAATAAACATCTTCCATAGGATTTGAACCAAGGACCTCTTGTTTATTTTAGTTTAACTTATACACCAGTAGGCTACAAGCAATTTTGTTGTCTATATTAACCTTATATGTTATATAACTAATACTAAATTTTATACAAAACATTATAAACATTAATAAATTTTATTTAATAAAATTTTATTTTTAAGCATCTAATTGTTTAGTATTAGTTACCAATTCTTAGCTATAAATTATTTTGTGTGAAATAATTCTACTAATTGCTTTTTTATGACTAATATATTTGGAATTGAGGATTTCCATTTTCCTCATGTATTTTATTAAAACCGGCACAACCGGCATGAATACTGGTTGTACCACGGTCAGACCATTCCACTTACAAAACCGGCACACCGGCATAAACCGGTTTGACAACCTTGGAAAGGTGAGACAAATGGTGAGATTGTAGCCCTTGAACCTTGGAGTGATAATGACAGTGAAATGTTTGAGGATAATCTTGAAGGTTAGCAGGAGGAGAAATTAGTGGAAGACGCAATGCAAACTCTCAGTTGTGGAGCACTATCTAATTCTTTAATCATCAAAGGCAAGGTCAAGAAGGCATCACTGATGGTTTTGGTTGACACAGAGAGCACTAGGAATGGCAATGGGGCAGGTCCGGGGCGGGTTTCTTGGTACCCAGACCCGCCCCGTGGCAGGTCGGGTCCAGGTCGGGTAATTGATCACGGGTCGCGGGTCGGGGCAGGTCGACCCAATGGGTATGCAATTTATATGAAAAACATTAGAAATATTCGTTATTTTTATTATAAGACTAAGAAAACAAACAATATTATGACAATTGTAGTTGACTTATTGGAGAAATTGAGATTTTTACTAATTTACAACTTTATTATAGCTAAAATATGATGCAATAAAAAGAAAATTCTCAGTAATTTCACTAAGATTACATGTGATTTAGACAAGAATGGGTCGAGAATGGGGCGGGTCAGGGCAGGTCGGGTCGATGAGACTACCCATGCCCGCCCCGCCCCGCCCCGCCTACGGGGCGGGTCGAATCCGCCCCAAAACAGATCAAACAGGTCGGGTAAAACGGGTCAGGTCAAAATTGCCATACCTAGAGAGCACACACACGTTTTTTAATGAGTCTAAGGCTCAAGAGTTGGGTTGTGAGTTACAGGCATCCACTCCTTTGAGGGTGAAGTTAGATTATGATACTACTATCGTGAGTAATCTGGTGTGTTGAGGATTTGAGTGGAGTATGAAACAACACAAATTATAATATGGTGTGAGGATACTACAACTAGAGACCAACGTTATTGTGCTAGGCGGATAGGTTGAGGGCCATTAGACTAGTTACGTTTGACTTCGTGAATCTGTATCTGGTCTTTGACAAGGATGGTGAAGAAGTGGAGCTGAGGGGGTGATCAAGAAGTGAAAAGTTTCAAAATGATGTACGGGAAGAGCTTGTAGAAGTATTTCAAGCATAAGGGTCCTAGATGGACAGGCCAATTGTTCATCATGACCATTAGCCCAGTAACAGGTAATTCACCTACATCCTTTGTGCAACCAATCCTAGATGATTCTAAGATGTGTTTGGCAAGTCCTCTTCCCATCCACCCTCTTGTGACTGTGACCATATCATTCCTCTACAGCCTAATTCTCCACCAGTAAATCTCAGACCATATAGATACCCATTGGCACAAAAGATTGAAGTAGAAAAGTTAGATGAAATGCTTGGTTCTAACTTCATTCAACCCAGTAAGAGTCCCTTTGCTTTCCCAGTCCTTTTAGTCCTCAAGAAAGATAGGTCCTCGAGATTTTTCATTGATTACATGTAGTTGAACTCCATAACCGTAAAAACAATCCATATCCCAGTGATTGATAACCTGTTAGATGAGCTTAGTGAAGAAACTTTTTTTTACCAAACTAGACCTTCTTTCTGGCTACCATCAAGTAAGAATGCATCATGATGATATCGATAAAAAGTCTTTAGAACCCACCATGTCCACTTTGAGTTGAGGGTAATGCCCTTTGAATTAACCAATGCCTCAGCCACCTTCCAAACCCTTATGAACCACTTCTTTTCCTCTTACCTCAGGAAATTTATCCTTGTTTTCTTTGATGACATCCTAGTCTATATTCCTGGCCACACCACTCACTGTCAACACTTTATTCTTGTTGAGGTCAACGTTTCAATATCTTTACAACTGCAGCTCCAACTGGAATCAAATCTTCATGATCAATCCGCTTATCACAAAGTTGGAAGGTGGCGAATTCAAAGAGGAAACTAACAAGGAAAGTCCAACGCTCAAATCAAACGGCTACCTACAGGAGTTCTATATAAATAGAGCTAAGAACAAGAAGAATAGGTAGAATTTTCAAGGCAATTCAACACAAGAGAGCTAAGGATATTAGTAAGGGTTTCAATGAAAAGTCAACACAAAAATTGAGTGAGATTTCTGGGTCTGGGTGTTTGGGAAACAAAAGGTGTATCGGCTATGTAGCTGATTGGTGAACTGTGTTGATTTAGCGGGGAGCTAATCGGGCGGGTTGAGTGTTTATTGTAATCTCAGAGCTTCATCGAACATACTCATAGTGGAACCTCGGAGATCACAAAACGTGTTTCTCAAACCGTGGACAAGTCAACGTTGGGATCCTCATTCTCCCAACATTGGAAACCACGTGAAAATTTTGATGTCGTGTGTTTCCTCTGTGATTTCAGTTTGATTTGAAGTTCGTGCTCTATTCTTGTTCTATTCTTGGTGTTTGAGAGTGCATGGTACTCTATTAATCTTGGAAGAAGAAGAAGAAGAAGAAGACGACTAGCATTCAACTAGTGTTAGTAAAACGCAGCTTTGTGGTAAAGCAGCAGTCAAGTAAAATGCATCAATAATTTTAAGGGATAATCTAGCCATGGCTATAAACAGGCAGAAACAAATGATGATAGGCACATGACTGGAAGGGAGTTTGAAGTGGGAGAATGGGTCTACTTAAGGCGCAGGCCATCCATGCAAGTCCTAGTGGTCACAAGGAGAAATCATAAATTAGCTCCCAAGTACTATGACTATGTCCATATTATAAAGAAGATTTGAGTTGTGGCATATAAGCTGCAATTACCAACAGACTCTGCCATTCATCAAGTGTTTAATGTTTCTTTGCTGAAAAAGTTTGTTGGAGCTCAAGTGACCATTCAACCATCCTTGCCAATATATGACAAGTCTGGAAAATTGAAAGTGGAGCCTCTGAAGGTACTAGCTAGGAGGGTTGTTGCACAGAATAATCAAGCTGCAACACAAATCTTGGTCCAATGGACTCATCAAGATGAAGTTGATGCTACTTGGGAGTTCTTGAATGAGTTCAAAGCTCAGTATCCATAATTCCATACTTGAGGAAAAGTGTTCAGTAAAGGAGAGAGACTTGTAACGATTTGTCCTCGGTTGGAAATAAATGGAAGTAAAGGACTGAGAAAGAATGACCAAAATGTAATAAAGTAATCATTGGAGTGTTAGTAGGAAAAAGAATGAAATGTGGCGTATAAATAAGCCTTGGGCCTATGTGCATTGTTTCATAACGAAATAACAGATTGCTCTCTCTCTCTCTCTCTCTCTCTCTCTCTCTCTCTCCCTTTACTCTTCATCTTCCCTCCTTTTCCAAACGGATACCTGCAAGCAGCAGTCCGCCATTGAAACACTACATTCTCTGTTTCGTCGAGTGAAATTACCCATTCCCCACCCAAGATGT